TCTCGGCAACGTGGCCTATTCCTCCTGGATCAAGAGCGTGCTCGACCAAGGGACGATGTATGAACTCCTGGGACAAACTACAAACGAGGAATCCCTGGGAGACGTCGTCGAGATGGTATTGGGGTTCTTTGAGGTGATGTCGTACTTCCAGCACGAACTACCGCTGTGGAAGGATGTATGGAAGATCAAGAGGGAGTTCGAGCAGTCAATCGTACGACACCTCGCCGGGAACGTGACCCACACGACGGGCCAGAACCGAAAGCGGAACAAACCTTCCGCTCAACTCGGGGCGCCAACGAAAGAAGTGCTGGGCATCATGAACAAGGCCAAGCCCAGACACCCGCGATCCCTGATAACCGAGCCTGCTGCACAAGGGTCCAAGAGAAAGGCCACGGAGGGCGAAGATGAGGGTCTTGGTCAAGCACCAGACCCGAGTCGAAGTTCTCAGCCCAATGCTGAGAAGGAAGATAAGAAGCAGCGAGTGATCGACGGGCGGAGAGCGGCACTAGGATTCCTGGAGTCAATGGAGAAGTGCATGGGAGATATGGGAATCTGTAAGAAGTGCGCGAACCTGGCCCACGACGGCGACTGCAAGGACATTGAGGAGGCTGCTGGAAATGAGAAGGCGATGAAGGTGCTCCGTGAGCTACTCAGCAGTGACCCTGTTTCATCAGATGAAGACATGGGGGATACGGAGGAGCCGTCCTCATCAACGTCCAAGGAAAGAAAGAGAGGAGGACAAGCAGGGAAAGAAACAATTGAGATGTATAGCTATACCATCAACTTGGTGGAGATGGCTGACACGGCTGAGGGAGGAGAGCTACAATGTGGTGGCGTGGACCTCACCTACAACCCGTGCGGGGACAACAGGACATTCAAGAAGACGCTTGAGATGGGATGCGACACCATCCCGTGCTACATCCCGAAGTATGGCGATGTGAGTGATGTGCACTTGCCATGGGCGTATGCGTCCATCGTTGACCCCAATTACTTTCCCAAAGGTGCAATCCTTGAGCAGGTGGACGTGATGCAACTTGGCAAGAGTGTCAACTTCTGCGTTGCTCCTTTCGACGGTGCTCCACTATGCAGGATTGGTGATGATCGCTCGGTATTTGCTACAAGGGACCAAGCAAACCAGCTATCACACGACCTATGCAGAGTCCTTCGACACAAGATCGGCAGCTGCCGAGGAAGTGCTTTCAGGTGCGACGAGGGTGGATGGGTTGACATTGATGCAGTCATTGACGACCGGAACAACGACATATTCCCACCATACACCACGAGAGCGAAACGATACATGGGCATCATGGAGGTGATCAAGTGGCAGGAGTCCGGAAGCAGAAAATCGAGATTCCAGGTTCTGGCAGCAAGGTTTCCAAGCATCATGAACCCGAATGACACCAGGGCGGCCAGGGAAGAAATGGCCAAAGCTGGCATGGTTCGGGACGACATCGACAGGATGTTCAACAGATGCGATGGATGGTACAGACCTTGGTGCATCCGAGTCACAACTGGTCACAGTGATTTTGGATTCATGAGCTCATCCGCACTGGCAAATAGGTATTCCGCAAGAATGGGTGATTCTCTCGGAGGAGCATTCCATGTGACGTATGTGGAAAATCTGCCAAGCATCGTACGCTGTGGGTTAGTCCCCGGCGGAATCGATGGCGGCAACAGGCTAGCACTGCACTTCGGAGCGTTTGCTCCATGGGATGAGATGAACGTGGCGACGAAGACGACGCTGCGGAACGTAAGGAAGGGGGATCCGATTGCGATCATCTACATTCCCAGTGCAACCCTCGCGCGGTATGGAGCTGGAGTCGCGGCTAATGGGACTTTCATGGTCTTTGACGTGATCCCGTTCTATGAGGTCAAGTCCATTTGGATTGGCAAAAGCAACGGAGGGAAGCGCCTGGAGTACGCTGACATCAAGAGGGCGTACTCGAAGTGTGTGGAGAACGAGATCTGCCCTGGCTTTGTCAACTCTTCCCAAGAGTCGGCTGCGATGTTCCTCCAGAACGTCGCAAAGATCAGCGAGAGGATGCCGGAGACTGAGACAGGTGCCGATAATCTGCACTACATCGTTGACATGGTTAATCGTGCCTGCGAACTCTATCGAAACAACAAGATGGAGGAGTTCAACGCACAGGTCAACGAGGTCCGGGACGAAGTCAGCAAAGTCGTCATCCTGAATGATGAGACATGGGAAGGACTGAGGTGCCGGATATGTCCATCATGTGCGACCGCGATCCCCACCTGCTTCTGCTTATGCCTGGAGTGCGAGGCACAACTGATCTCCATCGGAAGATACTACATTCACATCAAATCCGATGACGAGGAGGACAACCAAAACCCCAACGTCTCTGGAGATGCCAGGCGTGCACAGGAAGAAGCTAACCACGATGCGGCAGCACAGGAGGATGAAGACGAAGCGGAGGAAGTTCCGGGAGAAGATGACGACATGGACACGCAAGGATATACATCCGGCTATGCGTCAGAGGAGGAAGACAGCGGTTGGCATTACCGCGACACTGATCTGGCGTCACGGGACATTATAAGTTCCCAACGGATGGCGATCTGCCTTGACGAGCCGCGTGAAGCTCAGTACATGGCAGGATTTATCGCACTCCAGCTGTCCAAGATGTGGGGGATGTTTGAAGGTGGTGAGGAGAGAACAATGAATGCCGGACTCGAAGGGAGGCCGGGCTGCCCTTACCACAATGACTTCAAGAGGTACCCCAACATCACCGATCAGGATCAGGAAGGTATACTCTTACCATCAACAGCGAAGAAAATTTCTCAGTCGGAGAATGTTCGGACGAGATCCTTCCGATCGGTTGAGGAGCGTGAAGATTATATTCGTATGATGGTGTGCAAATGCGAGGGACTTTACACATTCTACAAGCTGTGGATTGCAGCGAGAATCCTCGATGTCACCAAGGAAGAAATGAAGCTCCTGGTCAAGGACCGAGTGCACCCGGTGGGTGATATTATTTTCAGATGTTTTGCACTGGCTTTCAACTGTAAGTATATATCATTCGTGAGGGACTGTAAGTATATATCATTCGTGAGGGATGGCCTGAACCTTGGCAAGAATGGTTACACGGTCAACGTGAGCGCCATCATCTCGGCCATCGACCCGAACAAATGCGACACACCCCTGCTGGATTGGTGCCTTCGGAAAGGGCACTGGTTGCCAGAGGACTACAACAAGAAGTGTGTCCGGGCACGAGAAGCCCAGAAGAACTTGGACGAGGAGTTCCGTCGACGTACCCATAGGCTGTCCATTGGGGACAGGTATGCTTCGTGAAGATGCTGATTGCGGTACGATGTGGGTCAGTCCCCATCTGTTACTTGCGTCACATCGACACTGTTTCGGTGGAACGACTTATGTCATGATTTATATTCATGTGTCCAAGATGATTGGGTGTGTACATGGTTACATATTCCGATGACTATGACGCTCTGGATATTCATGGATGGAACTATTACCTTATAGATGATATCTTTTCATTATTTATGCATTGTCCATGGTATCTGGAATGGCTATGATTTGCATTGATTACTCACCGATGTTTCTTTGCCGGAAATATGCAGACCGATCACGAGCAGGCCCCTCTGGTGGACTTTTGTGGCCAACCCATTTATGGATGACAGCTGCGCGATGCGCAAATGCGGCAGCTGGATAGTCCGTTGGTGGTCAAATGACGTGACGATTGTGTATTGTATACACCTGCATATGGAAGTGTGCTTCGATTGATGGATGAATGTTTCACTTTTCGTACAATCGAACCCGGCATGTTTCACAACGAATGAACGGTGTAGTGATAGCAAGTAAAAGAATGCACGACACGATTTCGTAGTTGAAGCCGTGGCCAGTGGAACGTTTTGTGGTGTTTGGACCGCATGATGAACAATGCGACCCAAATGGGGGATGTTAAAACCCTCTAGGCCCCGTGCCGAAATTGGGTAGCTGTTCTGAGGTCCTTGTTGGTGTTGCTTCCCAAGTTCCATTGATCGCCATTTGGCTCAAGACACAATTGAGGTTCAAGATCTGATGTGTGACTGCATACATACGTGATCGGCATTGAAAGCGGAAAACACTTCGCTTGCGCTGCATTTGTCAGGACCACTGTTGTAACTATCATTCCTTCTCCCTTACAACGTTTACACGGGCATCGTCCGTATACACTTTTCTACGTGGTTATATCATGCTTGAGGGTTCGGTGCATACGTTCCACGGACGTCACCTTGCTGTCTCTTGATGCGCATGTAAGTTTGGATTCTGTTAGGGATTTGTTGAGGTGGTATGTAGTTATGATTGTTGTTATTGAATGAGCATAGGGGTGATGTTGAGATGGGGTAAGAAATGAAGATGGGTATGTGAATATGTTTTTTGGGGTTGGATTGGTTGGGTGATTGGATTTGAATGTTGAAAATAGGCTGTTTTAGTGGGCGTATTTGAATTGTGCCCAAAAGTGTGGGGGGGACCCTAGGACCGGATGGCACTGGACGGGAGAGGCTACCCTGAACTGAGGGGGGAGGGGAGGGGGTAGGGGGGAGGGGGGGAGGGGGGGAGGGGGGGGAGGGAAGAGGGGAAGAGCAGAGATCCAGAAATCCAGAGATCCAGACATCCAGAAATCCAGAAAACCAGCCGACGTAGAAACCAGCCCCAAGGGCCGCCCCAAGGGACATATAGGTTATATATATATATATATGTATATCTACATAATCATATTCACATTAATAGAAAGCATATCAACAAAAGCAACACAGAACACACCGCCCCCATGCCGAAAGCATGGTCCATTCTGGACCAGGCATGGGGTCGGCGGATTCAGGGTGTATTGGGGGCCATGTCCAGTAGATTCTTTCCTGCAACCCAACTTGACGGTTGTTTCCGCAAAATTCCCAGACTCGCCACGGCCTCCCGCCGAAAAGTGCGCCTCTCCGGGTCTCTCGGTGTCGAGGCTACCGCGCCGTCGACTCGTCTTCGCGAGGCCATGGAAGTCCGAGAGGCCAAACGGGCGCTGCAAGGGCGGCTTCAAAGGCGCGGGCCACGCGTCGCGCGTCGACGCGCGTCGACGCCCGCACGGGTTCCGGCGTGACGGTGTTTCCCCGTGCTTTAAAGGACGGGGTGCAAAAAAGGCGAAGACCAGGGGGGAGCGGTGCAAAGACCCTTTTTTGTGTTTTTTCTCCCCGAAAAGGGGCAGCTGAGCAACTGTTTGGTATGTTTGGGAGGGAAAGTGAAGGGTGGGACTGTCCCAATAGAACTGCAGAATAGGTGCCGGGCTTCTGGAATGAAAAAACTACTTGGCTTACTCGTAGACCACTTTTATCCACCAGGATGTCTTTGTAAATCAGTTGCCCCCTGAGTGGACTTCGTTATGTGCAATGTGGGCCTACTGTGGATGGACGGAAACCATCTTGCACCACAGTTGAGAAACCCTGGAATTTTGGTTCCCCTGTGAATACCAAAGAAAGTCTGCAAGCTTTGAGAATCAATACTGATGGAATGCATCACGGAGCTTCCAAAGTAGTGCGTAGTGCCCCCTATTGGGTTGTGTTTAAAGGAAGAATAAACGGAGTCGCACCAGAAACTGGCCTCCCCTGCCTGAGCAAAATG